TGAATGCACCCAGTCATGAAAAGTACTAGTTAAACCTGAAATTTCAGGAAGTTTATAAAAGAATATTTTTCTTATTTATTAATCACATTTTAATGCTAACATGTGCTGTATATGCTGAATGTTATTATCAGTGATGTCAGATTTAGAATAAAGTGCCAACATTCTACTGTCATTCTAGGTCATATTAGCATTTTTAACTGCTGCTTTCATCATTGTGCCTTACCAGTTTCCATTCTAGCCTGTCATTTTAAAACAATGAGCTCATTTTAAAATTAATTTGAGTTACATGATTAAATAATATATTTTAGTTACCCCAACTGTTAAAACAATCATGAATTTAGAGATTTAAAAAAAAAAATATATATATATATCACAGTAGATTGATCAGACATTTTTATGTTATTTTAACAATATTTTCATATTTCATTCATCCGACATGCTCAAGGAGCCCTCAATCCTTTGTCCCACAGTAAGAGTACATTGTTACCCATCTTCCCTTTCACTAGACTGCAACATACTTAACTCAGCAGTGCTATGTTAATGAAGTTAATAAAATATTTGATGATCCTGTGAACAGATCAGCAGACTGACTGGCAACGTCAGCTCTGTTTCAGCAGCCAGTGAAGACATTTTAAATCAGCTGAAAGACAGACTTGATCAGCTTACAAAACGTTACACTGTCTTGAAGGTGGACATTCTGGACAAGGCTGAGAAGGCTGCAGACCAAGCTGCCACGGTTTCCCAAGATGCACTTGATGTGAGAATTCAATTTTTACTATATTTAATATAAAATATGTGAAAAATCTCATTTGATTTTTATTTTCATCACCATGCATATGAAAATTTAACAATCATGACAATCTTTCCTGTTGCATTCAACAAATCAAATGCAATTTTTAAAATTAATTATGTGTATAAAACATGTGGTGACCTACTTTCACTATTGAAGTTGACTGTATACAAGTCATTTTTCTTTATTGTTGTTAAAGTGGCTTTTCTTATTTCAGAAAGCATCTGAGCTGAATACCATTTATGACTCAATATCCAAAAGCCTGGATGACAAATATAATGATACAAAATCAGCTAAAGACAGAGCCCAAGCACTCAAGGACAGGGCTGAGAATATTTATAAATTTACAGAAACCAAAAAGAGTCAACTAACAGGTATGCAGTATTGTGAGAGACTAGAGTTATCAGTAATAGTGTGTTTGCAAACAAAAATGGACTAAAAGACTAATAGACCAGGCTCTGTGTGGTTAAACTGTTGACTGAATTGTGTCTCCCCTGGTATAAATATGGACTGAGATGAATAATTCTGGCATTTAGTTTTTGTATAATGTACGCGGGATTGTTTTTATCAAAATGTGTGAATGGAAATAGTGGATCAATATATGTTTAGGCTTGAAATGAATATACTGGAAAAATTCTTTTTTTAATTTGAGATTTGAATCTCTGGGGAATTCCCAAAAAAGAAATGAAAAGCTCTGATGAGTTTAATCAGGGGAATTTGGTTTTCTTTGTTATATTAAGTGTAACAGTTTGTCAAGGATACCATTTCTTACATCATGATTGTTATAAGTTTAAAGGTCCCAATGTTGTTAATTTAATCCTTTATTTTTTATTTTGTATTGAAGAAATTTGATGACAATCATTGAGCTTGGTATTCTTGTTTTTTTTTCCCAGATGTAGAACAGAAGATAGCAGGTAACGAAGTCAAACTGTCCAAGCTGCAAGAGGAGATTAACAGACTAAATGATAAGATGGATGAGTACCTGAAATACATTACAGATAAAGCTAAATTTTATGTCACCTGCTAATGATAGTCATGTATAGTTCCATTGGGGTATCTTTCAATTTCTCCTCAAAGAGGCCTGAACGCATATTGTAAATACATCTAAACAGTGGTTGCAACCTAAGGGTTGTAGTTTAAGCCAAGGATTTTGTGTGTAGTTCTATATATAGAATGGCATTCACATTTAGTGAATGGCAAAATGAGAAGATTTTGCTTCACCGCAACTCAAACAGCGAAAAGCCAGTTAACAGTTTAGAATGTTTAAACATGCTTAGAACTGGAGACAATAATTATTCCTCTGTTTGTGTTAAATTTTTTATAAAAACACTGATGGTTGATGTAACATGAAAAGATTAATATGATGGCAAAGAATTAGTTTTATTTAGAAAATTAAATCACTATTATCCAGAATTCCATTTTCAAAGGAAATAGATAATTCAATGCATCCCTAGTAATTGTATTTCAACATATTAATAATGGTTTCATTAGATGATTATTATTAGAATTGATTGCTTAAAAAGTAACTCCACAACATGAAGCAATTTAAGTGCTTATTTTAATTAAGATATTTGCTGTACATGTGATAAGTAAGTCACATATTGGTCACACAAGTGATTGGAAAGATCTGTTGTAAATCCTTCACTCATCTATAAATGGCATTTGACCCTTGAAACTGGTGCTAAGAACAACAAATTAATTAGCAATATCTGTCAAGCATTACCTCATAATTAATTACATCACATAAGGGTCAAAATAACATTTGTGTTCATTTTTTAACTTTTAAGCAAGTGGAAATGTTATTGTCAAATCCTGTCATGGCTTGTTTCCAAAATTTATGTTTTGGTAGATTTTTCTTTGAGGAACTTATAAGTTATTCATGATGATTTTTTAAAAATTAATCTTTTATTGAAAAAATGTGTCTTTGCTCAGTTTTTTATGTGTTATTTCTATGCCTGGGCATGGACATTTTAGCTTTATTTTACAATTTTTAAAAATTATTTTAACAGTTAATCAAAGTTGTATTTGTATTGAGTGGGTGAAACATATGGATGTCACTTAGAGTGAATGCATCGTAACCTCAGTAATAGTTTTGTACAAGTTAATATGGTCCAAATTTGAACTGCATTTATTGGGTAACATGTCTTTGATGTTGTGTATTTTGTGAGCTACCAATCGCAACAGCTGCTCATGACTTGAACTTTACATGCAAAGCATGGTTGCTGATGTAAATGCTGATCGATATGTATATATATTATATTATGCAAATTATATAAATATTTGTATGCTTTATTTTGTATTGTCAATTCTAATTTAGATACAATGTTGAAATCTATAATATTGTAGCTAACAGTCAAACATGTCTCAAGTTCCAATTTATGTATGGAAAAAAAAAAAAAGAACTGATGTGTTTTGAACTGTTATGCGATTTTGTTATTTTTTTTCCTCTTGTTATATCATATTTATAATTAAGTGTACTTCCCTTACATATATAATTTGCTAAATCCCACAAATATGCCTTTATAATTTTTGTAAAAGTGTATGCTTATTAACTCTTAGTTTATGTTGTCTGGGTTGCAAATTATGTTGGATCCTGTTACACTAAAAATTATTTTGCAGTGTAATAGTAATTGTTTTTAAATTTTAATATTTAGGTCAGTGCACAGATTTGAGATGTTTTTATCAAGGAATTAATCATAGATATTTGATCAATAAAGGGATAAAGATGCCATCTCAAGCGGTATGAGGCTTTAAAATTGGAAAAATCTTTTAGTTGGACACTTTACTAAGAGAGTTCCTTCTTTAAAGAAAAAAAATAGGATGCCCGGTACCAATGTTAAGGCACTGACATGTTTGCTTTTACAAATATTTGAAGCCAGCATTATTTTAAAAATCTTTTTCTACTGTATTTAAATTGTCTTGTCGCCAAGTGGATAAAAGTGTATTCGTAAATGGTGCTCAGCAACTACACTATAATACTCGATGTACAGAGCCCAGTGAGATGTGTGTTCTTTTTGTTTACTTTTAAAGGCTACATAATATTTTATTTTTTAGTACTAAATGCTAAATGTATCAATAAATTAGGTTCTATTTCTTAAAATGGGCTCAATTTAAGCTTAGTAAAAGGATAATTTGTTGCACTCTTATTGAGAATTTTTAATACATGATTAGCCAAGCTGAGAGTGAACAATAAGATCAGATCATTATATTTGTTCTCAAATTTTATCTTTAATTTTTTTTTAAAAATAAATTTATATTTTGTATCAATCAGAACAAAAATGTTCTGTCTTAAATTTGATTTAATTGTGTCCAGTCATTTGGCAGGTAAGCTAATTTTTTGGAAGAAATAGTGTATTTTGTTTTTGAAAAGCTCAATATTGAATGAGAGGATACATAACTTGATCTAAAAAGCCTCAAAGTGTCTGTATATATATATATTTTTTAGGACCTCATTATTTTTATAATGGCCAGTAAGTTTTATAGACTAGAACTTTTCAATTATATTTTTTTAAAAACTTAGTAAGTCTTTGGTCCTTAAAGTATAGACATAAAATTACTTTTTTTTTTTTTTAAAATGATTTTTTGGTGAAGATTTTTAATAATAAATTAATAAAGCATGTTGATTTAATTAATTTTACCTATATTAAAATGAAGCATGTTGATTTAATTAATTTTACCAATAAAATGGTCAATGTTAGCAATTTGTATTTTAGAAAATCATGTTTGAGGTCAACACTTTTAAATAAGATGTTAGGTAAAATGCATGTTGATTCATTAACTGTGAATCAAATCTCAGTTCTCTACATCTTTTTAATCAGTCTTGTATGTATTCACTGTGCCTTTAACCCACCCATACTCCACCAATCACTTTTTTTTAACACAACAGTATGTCCAGGTACCAGAAAGTGTAAATTTTTTTTTTTACATTACTTATTTTAATCTGCTCTATGGGTGCACAGCTCAAGGTGTTAAGAGCTTAGTAAACTGTTGAATTATTCTTATTCCACCTCACTTTTTCTCTATAACAAATTTTTAAATCCAAAGCAGTTTTTTTTTACTCTCTAATACAAGTATAATCATAATAATGTAATGTATCAGAATCAAAATAAAATTCATCAACTTATTTCATTTCTCAGCATTTTTCTTATTGGTGAAAACACTTGTTGAAATCCCACAACTTTTAATGGACAAATTTTAACAAAATTTCACCATTTTTCATAAAAGAAATTTAATGCTTGTAAACAAATAAATTCATAGTATAAAAAAAGTTAGGAAACATTTTTTTGTGTTGTGTTAAAGTAATAATTTGATAAATTACATTGATAATAAGCAATGTCACTAATCAGCACACTGCCAATGTTGTGAGTAGGTCTGTCCTTGATTAAACTGAAACTCCAACTCAATGTCCCAAAACCTGTGGTTCTCCTTTGATGGATGCATATAGTAGACGCCTTTAATTTCTGAATCCTGTTTCACAGCTATCGGGGTCTTCAGGTACATGACTGTCTGTCCCCAATGAGTGGGTCTGGTTAAGAAGGTGGAATATCAAATAAATGCAAATTAAAAAAAATGTTCCTAAGCTATGTAAGTAATGTAAGGGAAATATTTTCAGATTAATTCAACAGCAGCAAACAACCATAAAACCTTAACTTACCACACTAAAACTAATAACTAAAATGATAAAAGACAGACCTTTAGAAGGTACAATTTAAAAAAAAAGCCAGCCATTATATAAAAACAGCTTCCATGAAAATTACTAGTTAGTTAAAAGTCTGTTTTCTTTGAAAGTAAAGAAATTAAAAAATAAAAAAAAAAAAAAAAAAAAAGACAGACCTTTAAAAGGTACAATTTAAAAAAAAAGCCAGCCATTATATAAAAACAGCTTCCATGAAAATTACTAGTTAGTTAAAAGTCTGTTTTCTTTGAAAGTAAAGAAATTAAAAAATAAAAAAAAAAAAAAAGCAGACACTTATTTTTATTTTTACATAACTATATCTTGTACACATCTTAGAACCTTTATGACACACCAGTCTTCTGCTACCATTGATGTGAGTTACATGGTTTATTTGGCTGTGCATAGTTCCTGACTTGGAAGACTTTTTTAAAGTGGTTAACATACACAAATACAGATGCACTTGTTTGTTGCTGGTTACAATTGAAAGAGGAGAAGAATATAACTTACAAGGCATAAGGAGAGGTGTCAAGTGTAACTGAGCCAGGAAAGGAGACCGTGAACCAAGTGGCAAAGCCGTGCATCAGATTTTGACCATAGCACTTGAAGTTAAACTCAGCCTGTGATCATAAAAATTTGTCACTTGTCAAATTGTTATTTGGATCAACAAATGTAAAATACACAAGTGCTAAAATATAGTATAGTAATAGTGATCTGGATGCATCAATTTTTTTTTTAATTGTGCGTCAAATTCCAGAACTGGGTGTGAAAATTAAATTGAAGTTAAGAATTGCATTGGACATTTTTTCAAATGAAAGACAAAAATTTACCATTGTTTAAATATAAGTGTTTTTTCAACACGCAAAAGTTACATAAATTTGTGTGATGATTTTACTATAAAAAAAAAAATCTAACCAAATGGTAAATAGTGATTAACTTAACAAAAATGCAATCAGACATTATACTGCGGACATTATAGCGAACAGCAAACCAGTGGTCAGTACCATTATGGCACACAACCCTGGAATCTTATCAAGCCATTATCCATTCGCCTTTAGTCATCATTTGCAATCTTGACAAGGAAAAAAAAAAGCCACATTTTTTAAGCTAACGTAAAATAACGCTATTATCACCAAAGAAATCTCAATGGCCAAGTATATAACTTGCTTATGCTGAAAGTGCATTATCCGTAGAAAATTAAGAAATTGTGCACCAAAATAATAAGAGCCCTTTATTTTTTTTCTCTTGCTCACAGGGAAGTCCACAGTGAATTGAAAGAACATAATATGGCTGAATTTAATTACGCACAATATGGTACACAAACCCAGGGCATCAGATATCCGTTCAAGAAAGGAACACTGCAGCGACCAGACAACCAGAGAGTGGGACTCGAGGTATGTGCAGACCGAATGCTCAGCTCTCTGGAATCTTATCAAGCTGCTACCTTCTTCAAAATGTTATCATCATCTGCATCATCAAGCTAATCACAAAGTGAATGAATTAATTAACATGAAACTGATATCAAGCGGTTTAAAAGTTAATCTTAAATTTTTAACAGCATCAGACACTGGATTTAGGTCACCACCGGAAACTGAGTCACCGCCTGAACCTGCAGCAATGCCGTGGGAACACAAACAGAAACGACCACAAACAAACACAAACCAGCATTGGCACAAGTAAGCAAGCTATGCCTCGAAGTCAGACCGATGCATCACACCAATGCTATTTCACAATTTGTCATCATGTGCCATTTTGGCCAGGGGCCAAAAGAAAACCTGCTCAGATTGAAAACTATTTAACCGGGTCATAGCCAGCAATCCCAAAATGACAGACTGAGCTGAAATTATCCAAGGGATGAGGCTCAAGTATGTAGTTGTGTCATCACAGCAGGAATCAATGGATCAAGTCAATAAATACCTACTTCCTGTCTAAAACGTGAAATTCTTTAGCTGTTAATATAATCAATTTTTTTTTTAAAATTATCCCATTTCATCACACTAAGTTTTGGGATAGTAACAATAGCTAGTAACTTTTGACCTTTTTTAAAAAATGTAACTCTTTTCATTAATCTTCTTGCCTTTAGAAAGAAATTTTGTAAGCTGTCATTATTGATTATAAAAGTGAATTGTAACTTACCTTAACTTGTTGAGCCTCTTGCCAGGTCATTGTCTTGAGATCAAACCTACACAACTGGAAGGCATTGGCAAGTACTGACTCAACATCCAATTGCTTACTGTCAACTCGAACTGAATATAGAATTATTTTTAAACTGCATTTCATTATCTTTCCAGATATTATTTTTTTAAATATTTCAAAGAATTGTTCAAATTTTGTTCCATTGGTCTAATTTTAGCTGTCATTTGGTCGCAAGCAGCATTTCTAATAATAAGTAGAGTGTGTAGTCATCATCATGGACATTTAAGAATGACCCTATATTCTAAATGCAGTTGTAATATAATTCCAAATTACGGTCCATTTATAAATTTGGCTCTACAAAATAAAAAGTAGAGAATCTCAAACTTACACCTGAAATTAATAAACAAAGGATAAAACAAGGCAACCAATCCACTACACTGATATTAGATTGAAATAAACAATCCATGTAACTAACAAAATTGCAATTACACGTGAATATTGCTCCCACCTGTCAGCGCATCCTGTGTCAGTGATACTAAACTCTCCATAGATACATCATACAAATCTTTGAAACTTCTCCAGCTCTGCACCCTGAACATTAAAAACAAACATCCTCAATTAAAATAATGTTATAATTATATAAATAATAATGTTATATATAAATATATAATTTTCAGAAATGCTAGAAAGTGTCCACACTCTCAACACAAAAGAAAAAATAATTTTAAAAAGCAGAAGAGCATGTAAAGATTTGGAAGGTCTTGTGGATTTATGTAATGTTAGCTCCCTAACTTTTTTAAATACTTCTTTAATGTCTCCTTTTGAAAAAAAAAAAGAGAGAAAGATGCTGCAACAAAAACAGTTTCCAGCCGTAATGCTTTGAATAACTCTGTGGACATTTTTAAGTTTGTTCGTGGCAATATCCCCGGCCCAAATGCAAACTGCCCACATGTATATCGACTTGTCCTTTTTAATTTTACATAACACGGCACTGAGAATTAAAAGTGTTGACTGTACACCTTTCTTGAAAGCTGTCATCGGATATGGGTGCCAAAAAAAGGGATGCCGAGCACGGAAACATTTCTCCACCCTGGATTAGAGGAGAATCAAATTCATATTTAAAAAAAACACGTTGTTGGATAAAATGCTATTATGGCTCAAAATTCTATTTTCAGTTAATTTTTTTTTTTTTAAACTTTTTTACCATTTAGGGGTTGACTGAATGAATTGATCTGAACTTAACTTTTAAAAAATTTAAACATGCCGTGTTTATTTTATTATTTTTAATTATCTGAAACAACATAAAACGGTCAATTCATTTATCAAGAAGACCAACAAACAAAAATTGTTTTCCACGAATTCTTCATTTATAATAATAATGAAATCCGGTAATAAAAATAAAAGCTCACCGGTTTCAGAAATCTGTCCCTGGCAACAATCACAGAACTCAGCATTGATTCATAGAGCAAGTTGTAACCCTGAGTGTCAACAACAGTTTTACATCCAGATTAACAAGAAAGTCTGAATAAAATGGATCCAAGATGACTACCCAAGGAGCCTCTACAAATTTTATATTTTACTAAAATTTAATAAGTGGCAATGTCTAGCTTAAAATTTCCACTTGGCTATAATAAATGGCTTTTTGGTGATAGCTTAGCCTTATTGGTATGGCAAGAGCATTAACATAACCATTCCATGTAGCATTTTTGGCTGTGTTTGGCTTTGATCAAAAGTAAGAGTATAAGGTTATAAATCTATAGGTTAGCTAATTAAGATTTAGAGTAAAGAGATATTAACAAAATAAATCTCCACTTACCATCCACTCACTGACGATCACATCAACTTTCTCAGGTATTTCAGCAGTCTGAAAAATAGATAGCAGTAGATTAGCATATATTAATAAAGCAAAATGTTTTTTTTCCTTAAATTTCTCTGGTCTTTTTAACTTACCTTAATCTAATTTTGAATCATCATCTATAATAAGCTGATACAAGTTTTATTTTGATATCTTTAAAAAAAATTGCAATACCATGTAATCTTTATTTGTTCATATACTTTTGTCCATGAAGAATGTTTAAAAAATTGATTTTTTTTTGCTTCAAATTAAAGACTTATTTTAATGCTTATTTTTTACCTCAATTTTACTATGTAAAACAGTAATGGAAGAGCTTCTCCCATTTTCCATAACAATTTGTTGAGCAAAAGATGCCATACTACTAGCTTCAACAGCAAATACTGAAAATAGGAGAAAATATACTTTAACTTGTAAAGAAGTATTTCATAATAAAACTACAAATTAAGCAGGTTTGTGGTCAGTCAGTCTCCATAAGGGGTAATTTTTCAGCATATACCAGTGATTTCCTTTATTTGAAATACAAATTATTAACACCAAATGCTCTATAATCATACCTTTGGCTGCACCTGCCTGGACTGCAAAATGACTGAGAATTCCTGTTCCTGCCCCTACATCTAACACTGTTGAACCTTTTAATCTGATTCTATTTTCTTGCAATGCTCGCCTACAAAGTAAGAGCATCTTTTAATAATTAATAAGTACAATAATATGTTTTTCTAGCCCAGCAAGGAAATGAAAGGCTAAACAAGTTTTTTTTTTAAAAACTAATAGTATTTCTCACTCATAGCTTAAACTAGCTTATTGATAAAACAATTCCTAGGTTTCCAGTTTCAATTTACCTTGGGTTAAGCTAAATTAATTATTATGGCACTGACTTGTAAAGCTTGCTGCTTCGTCTTATTTTATTAACATTTTAAAATTATTAGTCACAACATAGAGAGATAAAAATTCACAATCCTACACATTACAGGCCAATTCACATACTTTCATGAGTTGAGTAAATTCCACTTGATGTAGCAGTAACTACATAGTAATATTTTCAACTAATTGTTTCAGTAAACTTATTTTTCAAAGTTTGGTCTTTTTCTATTTTAATGAGCGGGCCTCACAGAGTCACAAACAGGAAGTATTGAAATCATGCACTACAGGATTAAAAACACTTTTAGAATTACTTGGATGCCAACTTTTTTGTTTGTTGTATAATTAACTATTTTGGATTTATGGGAAAAGAATATCTTACATCATCATATTTAGGTTCTGCATATATAAAGTAAAATATCAACATAAACAGACCTGTATGCCATGGTCCGTACTTTGTCATTAAGCATTTCCTCATGTATTCGGATATCTGCATAGCATCTAACATAAAACAAAATTTTTTAATATATTTTTACAGGGAAAAAAAAAATAATTTTGAAATAAAAATACATGTTGCAGTACATAAAATAAATTCCATTTTTAAAATCGACACCAATCTATTTTAGACCCATCAGTTCATTAGGTGTGAGACCCAGAATCTCAGTAACACAGCATAAAGTATTTATAATTAAATAGATGGTAGAGAATTATTTCTGTTGTAAAAAAAATATCACCTAAAATAATCATCATCTGAAATGTCCATTTCCCTTGGCAAATATTCTGTTGACAAAGAAGAGCAAAAAACTAAAATATTATGGAAATTGCCCACAAAGGAACAACCAATGGGCTTGATCCTATGTCAGTCTCAGTAATAGGAAATACTCAAAAATAAATGATAAGAAAAAGCACAAGTTTAACTCATCTTCGATCTGACACCAGGGTTTTGCTTCATGTACTTACCACAATACTTGGTGTACTGGTATTAGTCTATATAAAATTGAAGTGTTTGCAATAGCAGAAGAAATATAGCAGCACCATTTAAACAGCAGAGGATAAAATAAACATCATCACTCAATAACTATCACCCACTCACATTTTTGGTTGTAAATCATGACTGCTCAAGTGCTGAACGCTAGTGTTGCTGGTGCCCACAATGAATGGAACAGCGTGCAATGTTTGTGGAAAAGCATTGTTTACTTGAGGCTCTTTCTTGGGTGGTAAAGGGTTAAGTTGAATGAGATGTGGCAGAGGGTGGGGCTGAAGTTCATCACCGTTGTAAGGCTGATGCTGTAGGAGCTGGTGGTATCTAGGAGTCTCTGAGTCTTCTGACAGCAAGTCAAAATTTGGATCAACAGACGTAAGAGGCTGAGAGTAGTAATTTATCGGAGGAACTGAAACAAGAGTCTGTGGAATGGAAGATGAACTTCCTGATGGCTTAGCGGCAAAATTTTTCGCTAGTTTAGGCCTTTTAATAAATTCCTCTCCACCTAAAGATTTTGGATATAGCTTTCTGCGCTCTCGATACATTGCTAGCTGTAAATATCTTGTACTTTTTGATGATAAGTTCACGCCAAGCCTAGGCAGTTCATTAGCTATGATGTCCTGAGAACTAGTTGTACTATCTTGTGCTGCCTTACGTTTGCAAACCACCCTCAACAATCGCCTTTCAATTTTCTCCGCGTCAGGTTCATGGGTGTGAGTTTTTTCATTATCCTCAACTATCGTCTCAATCGAGTGGTCAGTTTTAAGGTGAGCTGGACATTTACGGGCACTGCATCGCCAGGACAGCTTATTCTTCCCAGAGTGATCAAGTCTATACATGTAACCATCTCGCACAAGGCTCCGCTTGCCTTTGTTTGATAAAGCCATGCGAAACACTTTGCCATTGCTCTGACCCCTCACAAAAAATGACTCTGTTGTACAAAATAAAGATATAATAGCATTGGGCTTGTCTGTCCAAAATCTACTAAAATTTCACTTTCTTAATCAGAGGGGAAAATCATTTTACAGTTGTACTATTTTAATTGATACATTTCCATTACAGCTTTATTTAAAAAGTAAAACATAAATGCCATAAAAAAGTGGGGTGTTTTTTCCAGCATTTTTCATACCACAATAGGTCTAGCTTGATTTATAAATAAACTTGTGCTTTTAATCATTTTTTTGCGTATATAACTTAACAGTTAAGCATTTTTAGTAACATCTTCTAATGACTCAAATATAAAGCATTTTAACTTATTTAGACAATTCAATTTTTTTTTTGTATTATTATTATTGACTGTCGTTAAATAAATTACTTTACAATTATGAGTTTTCAGAATTGAACACAATTTTCTTTGCACTTAAATATCTCCTAAAAACCTATAATTTACCTTTAAAAGGGTCAACTTGGCTTGATTCTGAAACTGCATGGTCACTAATACTGCAACTTCCCCCATCCTTCAATTCACAGTCACTGGATAGGTTTAAAAGAAGTAATAAAATGAAATATTAGAAATTTAATCCCTTTTCAGAGATCCCAATTAAAAACATTAAGGATATCAACTGAAAATTTAAAAAAGAGGTCATGATGGAAGCAAATGGCGAGCGATATGGGACTGACTGAGACGTGACTGATGTGAGCATCAACTATTTTTTCATTTAGATTTTTCCACATGAAACTAACAGGTAACACTGACAGGAATATCACAAGAGATGTATCTGTGAGATACATGCCTGTTGCCAATTGCACTTCGGACCTCCACATCTAGCTTACCTTTAGGTGCTTATATACAACTATCAATGGCAGAATGGCAAAACAAGGGTGAATGAGAAAATGAATATGCGCTTACAAATTTAACAAGATAAATGTATGCTAAATATAAAACAAAAACTAGAATAGGTTAAGTCAAAGAAAATATATTTCAGGAACAGACAAAAACTGTTGTTTTTTTTTTCAAGTTATCCGGTGAGAGACATTAATTGATCTATCAGGAATAACTTTTCTCTAACCACACAAACTTATGAAGGATAACTAGACCAAACTAAGGATACTACCTGTAAAGCATCTTTTGTAAAGAAAAAAGATTAACTCAGGTGAGCAGCAGCAGCACCTTCCCAACAGTTACAAATTTTAAAGAGAAAACAAAGGGAAAGAATTCTATACTAAGCTGATCATTCCCCTTGGTCTTGGTACAAAAGCCATGCAATCTGTTTCCACCTCCATACCCCCCAACTAGTTTTTTTTTTAACTTGTGAGTACACAGGTGAAGGTAGTTTAAGAGCCTGTGCTAGGAATTTTGCTGTGTGTGTTTATTTTGAACCAGTCCTTGGAATGTGTAGTTTGATCACTATGGTCATGGTGTTTCTCAGTTTCTCTCCTTAATCCATAATATAGCCATAGGATAGTATTAGCTAAAACAATAGTGGAATTTTGTCAAGACAAAAGATTGTGGTAAGTTCTAGAAATATGAACAAGTCAAAGTGTGTTGTATTGATACAATAATGCTTTATAATAGGGAAGTATTCTCTCTCTATTACCAAAAATTCCTTACTTCCTAAGGTGATAATCATATACCGTATGTCTATATGTGCCTTATTATTATCAATACATTTATAACTGCTAGCACTAATTATAACTATTTGTGTTTATTTTGTTTTTCAATTATTCTAGTGAGCTTAAAACATTCAAGTCAAAGCATTAATTTGTTAAAGGCACTGGTAATTCAGAAATGTATGTTTATGTAAAAATAAGGATGTTTAACAATATAAGCAACTTTTAATTCCAACATCCCAAATCTCGTCCAATTTTACTTGTATGCATACCACTTAGACATGACTATTCTTGACTAGGGAAATGATTAGAGTGATGAAACTAACATCCTTATTAACAATAAGACTAATAAGATCATGTTTTTTTCCCCCCATTATGGACAAGGAATTAAAAAAATTACATCCAAGACCAAGTCATGTCCAAATGCATGGTCAAGAATAATTTGGGAAGGAGACAGAAATAAACTTTTATGATAAGTTACATATTTTACTTATGTATTATATAAACTGATCCTTCAAACAAATCTTTCAAACCTTGCAAGCAGAAAAATGTAATTACCCTGCAAGTTGTGATAAATCTAACAGTAATTTTGACAGTGCCAGCATTAGCCCTTGGTGGCCTTTTTTTTGTTTGGACACAATTTTAAGGACACCACATTCAAATTAGACACATTTATTGATTTTAGAACAAAATAGTACAATTTTGGTGCTCCAAGTCTGGAGCCCTCTGGCTTTAACGACTGCAAAGCCTGCCATTAAAAAACAAGATTAATCTTTGTTACATAGACAATGTAGGTCTAACTGTCTTTTTAGATAGCTTCCCTCTGCCTTGACACCCAGAAATAGTCTGTGTCTCATTTTTTTTTTAAAGTGTCATTCTTTAATAATAAGGGGTCTTATATAGCGCGGTACCCCAGCCTAGGGCTGGGCTCAGCGCGCTGTACATAAAATTTTATCAAAAGAGACATAATCATGACATTAAAATAAAATACATTTATGAAATAAAGAACAGCAAAAAAATGTATATTCACCCACCCCAACACATAACTTTTACAAGGCAAACTATGGACGGCAACCAGCAAGATCGTTTATCGGTCAGGAGAGGAATCATTAAAACATATTTTTTTTTTTTAAATTTAGAATAGAAAATAAAAAGCAAAGCAACCATTTTGTCAATCGTTTGGCTTAATAAGCACCATCAGCATTCAATCCTTTGAATATCGATAACTACTAAGTGAATAAAATTATGACAGATTTTACACTTATTGTGATTGTCTTGAACTATTTGTTTACTTTGTACAATGACATCAAATTTATTTATAGTTGTTTTTAAAAAGAATATAAAATAGGTAGCATATTTGTAATAAACCCCAACATTTTCTTTTTGTATTTAGTTTAAGTAGCCTGGCCTAAGTAGACCCTATTACTATTAGTATTTACCTTTTTATCTGCTCCATTGACATTGCCTAGCATTCACCCAGCCTGGAATCTTAAGGTGGCTAATTTTAATCATATTCCATCAAGTACAAGATTTTAGCATATGCATCTGGAAGTAGAAAATTAGCATTAGTGTTAATATGTAGATTGTAGTTACTGTTCACCGTCTTTTAGGAAGGCCCTATCACATGTAATTTATTATTTAAGATATCAACATAATTAGGCCCTCTCATCATCAACTCACTGATTCGTCATATTCATCCGATTAGACCTAATGAAGTGATTCGCCTTGGCTTATTTGTTTAGAGTTACACGAGGCACTAGGCTACTAATACAGACTACACTGACACAAGAGGGTCAGTGACTCTTCAATGAATTCTAACTTAGACTTAGCTAGCTTCTGCTACTTAACACACACATTTAACTTATTATTATTAGTTGAACTCATCAGAGCCTAAAAGTTATTACTGATCAAATCACAATTGCGGTTATTCAAATAAATAATTGAATTAAATTAGCCAAGGCTTAGCAGGATACAATTAAAATTTAACTACTGAGTGAGAAAAACATTAGACCTCATTGACATATATGACAAGTAGATCCTAGGCCTATTGAAATAGAGGATAATCTTATTAATTAGGCCAGGGGTCCTTAACACAGCCCCCTGGATGTCATTTGATTTGGATACCAGTGACAAATATAGAACCACACATGGAAGATCTATTCAAAGCCAAAGGATGCTCATTTTTGCCCCACTGAAATTAATAACTGTAACTCGACATGATGTTGATAAAATTTATCTTCATTATAAATATTGTCAATATTGTATTGCACTTATCATTTTATCTATTTTTTTTAAATTTTGAATTGCAAATAAGATGTGTGGAGTGTGCATAAGAATTTGATCATATTTTTGTCATACTATAATTTATAATCCTGTCCACAACCATGTCCGAGTCTGTGGGCTGTGGGACAGTAAACTTGCCACTTGATTAAATAAGTCTAAGGGCCCCTGAAGTAGGCCAAATTTAAATTTTAATTAAATTAGGCCTTTAAAATTATTCCTCTTGAGGTGGCTGGGCCGATCTGTCGGCCCAGAGTTGATAGGCAATAAAAGCCTCGAGCATGACTGACAATTCATTTGCTGCCCTCTTGGATACTACTTCTAATTCCAAGCTGAGTGCTATTTTTAAATTTCAGTTTTATTCTGTTTTTTCTGTTTTGTTCGCTGACGAAGGCTTCAGCTGCAGACACGTTCGTTGTTTTGGCTAATGTGAAGAGATAGCACCCTGACGTCATTTGCATGTTTTGTCCCTGGTTCCAATAGGGTAAAAACACAGGTAAGGGATAAGTTTAGGGTTCAGGTTAGGTTTAGGGATAGATTTAGGGTTTAGGTATAAATTTAGGACGACATAAGCTCGCTATCGTAAAAAACGTGGTGCTATCTCTTCACATTTACCCCAGGACATTATTTTTTTCTAAATTTTCACCTGAATTTAAAACCAGGCGCAACCAGGACGTTTCCGGCACTACTAGTACTAGATATATATCTTAGTTATACAAGTATAGTTAACTATTATTATTGTAGTATATAGTCAATAGTCTTAGTCGGCAATCCTCCGAAGTCCGGCCCCAAATTATTTTGAATGAAAAAAATTGCAGGGCACAGTGTGTATTGTTAGAAAACAGCAGAAATGTCAATCATAGCTTTTGCAAATAACTGTCACTTTACAAACCAGGCAGTAAACACTAAATATTGTAATGGGCGCATATCATTTGCAAATAATAGCATACAACGTTCTGAATGTGACTGTTGCGCCACTGAAAGGCCCCCAAGTAGCTGGCAAACAGACAGCAACTATTACCAGTTCCACTCTGATAGCGGAGTTTACGTTTCGCAAGCATCCAAAGTCCTTCAATAGTTTTAGTTTCTGTGTGAATGTCCTGGTCTACTGGATCAACATATTCACGCGCGTGCACCATGACAGCATGATCATAAATCCCGTGGTTGAGCTAAACGACATTTTGATGATATCCTCGCCAAGCGTCCGTGATGATAGTTGTCCCTGGTAAAATATAATTAGTGATAATGTGCTCGAATTCACCATAATTTAACACATTTTTTTGAAATATATACGCAAAAATGAATTTCAAAACAAAATGATGTCTAAGATTTTTAAGTAAGGAGTAATCATTTAATCATTCAATTATTGGAATTAATTTGGGAACGGACTTCGGAGAATCGCCGTCTTAGTCTATTTTTATTTTATAGTAGACCTACTACACCATGACCATAGCGATTTTACCTCATTTTTATATTTTATGTGTATAATAAAGTCTAAGCCTAATTTTCTGCAATCTTCTTACAGCTTATACACAGGTGTCTAGTAGCGAATAATCATTTATACAGAATAGTCCAGTAAAAGAAATAGTATTCTTTCCGGTCAGGGATAGAATGTAGCACGTGAAATCAAATTTGGAGATTTGAATCTTCAGCAAAAAATAAATAAAAAAGTGAGGCAGCAATACGTTTTTAACTTTGCAACCAAAGAGTTGTCATTGACATATCCCCCTCCCCAACCAAAAAAAAAAAAAGGCTGCACCTATAGGTACCCGGGTACTTAAAGCGACAAATAAATATTTGGACCCGGAGTGGCTCCATATAGATTAAATGGCTTCGGAGCCGGGTGTGATAACAATAATAGTTTGAGAAATTTTTTTTTTAAAGTGTTTTTTTCTCCTTATTTCATAGATTCATAGTTTTATTATTTTTGGTTGTTTTTATTTCTTATTGCAGGTAGTTGTTTTTTCTTTCTAATTTTATTTTTTTGTTTAAGCCATTTTCGTAGAACATTTTTTTTAAAAATATAGTAATCAAGATGATTTAGATACATTTATTGTTTTCATTTGAATTTTAGAAAAGTAATAATATTAATTTAATTATTAATGGACCACGTTATAGAATTTCACCAACAACAGAGAGCGACCAATGTCCAAGCGTTGGTTGATGTGTTACGTGTCCTCATAATGAGTAGATCTTGGAAACGTTACGAGCGGACCAGGGATTATGTTGCGATATGTTAACTAGAGCGTTGTGCTACCCACTACCACTAAGTTAAAAAAAAAAAAAAAACTCTTCAGCTCGCCGAAGATGCCACCCTTCATTATAATTTTTTTTTTTAAGTGCCCTGGGCGAATGCACCCCCTGATATTGAGGTCCTTTGCGAGTACAACCTTTACATGGCTGTGCATGGATCCAGTCGGCTAGAAAGAAATATCAGACAAAGTAGATAGATTTATAAAATAAAAATACAAAATATTTAAATCTAAATTTATCCTATTGGGCAACTTTTATAAAGTATCTTTGAAGACAGAAGAATTCTCCTTGTTTTCCCACAATGGCGTCGTAAATGACAATAGAATCATGAAATGTAAATTTAAAAAAAAAAATCTTGTACTATTTTGTTAAATGGTTATTGTATTCGAACAAAAAGACGCAATTTTAAGCCTTTAGTTCCATCAGGTAAAGAGGAAGTTTTAATTTTATGTCACTAGAAATAATTATTCGCGCTTTAATTTCATTGCCTTCTTAATTTAACTCTTTAGTTCCTTGAATTTGAATTTTGCATGTTTTTCATGAGATTTCTAGTGACCTTAAAAAAGAGTCAATAACTTTTAGAATCCTTGTCTAAAATTCATGATGTTAATATATTATTGTGGGGAAATGCATGAGGTTTCTAAAAAATATTTGTTTTCAAACACATATTATCATAGTGTCAATACTTAGAAATTGTAAAAAAAATTCAATTTTTAAAAAAATGAAAATCAAAATGTGGAAAAAAAAAAATTGGTGATCACATGCAAAGAAGGAAAAAAAACAAACCACATAAAATTATTTAATAAAATCTGTTTATCTAGAAAGCAAATTCATTTTCCTATATCATATTCATGATTTAGAACATTTCATGAGAATTTGACCAAAATATACATTATTTTGTAAAATGTGTCAAAAAGGGGAAATAATTTAAAAAAAATAAAAATCACCGCCCCCACCAAGTATTCACAAAATTACAGGTTATTATTATTTTCCCTTTTAAAAATTACATCAAGATTTAAAAAAATAATAGAGATTTTAAACTTCATGGTACTGTTAGTCAGAAAGTTTCTTGTTTTTTTAACAAAGACAAATTTACCATGCGCTATATTTGATTTATAATTTTATTTTCTTAGCATTCCTAATTTATAGCACTAGCACACTGACAATTGCTTTTAAAATCTATGCAATCAGGAATTATTGCATTTAGATTGTATTTGGTGTTATTTACATTTGCAGCACTTGGAACTGCATCACTTTCAGTAAATCATCAAATGCTAAAATAATTTCCTCGTTGAAGTCAGTTGAGAATAAAATGTCAGGTAGCTTCAGTTCATCTATATAGTAGTTTTCTTTTGAACAATCCTGAAGAGATTATAGCTGGCATTATCAACAAAATGGAAAAGGGGATTAGTCCAGTGCTGTTCTCTTTACTTAGAATGATATATTCATTTATCAACTGGTCAACACCACACAGGTCACAGGAATGAATTGTATGATTTCAAAATCTGATTTGACAATATTTGGTTTTTCTCCCCAATAATTGCCTAGAAAGACACCATCAGTTTTGGTTTTGTTCACAAAAGAAAATCCATTTGCTGTCATATTATTTGAAATAAGTGAGGCTTGTCTAATTTTCTCTCCACTGAACATAGTATAAATTATTATCCATCACATCATATCACATTGCTTTGGTTTTTATCTTTATTTACTTCTGATAAAGTCTGACAAGTTCACTTTGCATAGTTTGTCCTCATTGTCTGTTTCAATATTATCAACTTTGAAGAATGTCTTATTTGAATAAATCTGTTTTGGGGAATACAGCATGAGCCCACAATTCATGGTAGTAGTGAAACATTGTTGCGGTTGACGAGTATTTTTGTACACTGAGGACTTGTACAGTTGACATGCACATTAGTAGTCCTAGAAATGTGTAAAAGTGATATGTTGTTGAGATATCAACAAACCACAGTTGATGGATGGTTTAGAAGGTCCCATGGTAGTTGAATAGGTGTATTTTACAAATGTTTCAACCAAATTCAGTGTGAAACATATCTTGAAAATCCTTAGACTTTAGGATGCAGATTGTATCCATGTTATGATGACATTTCTTCCCACACATGTCAGCCTGTCTTTCTGGCTGGGGGAAACTTAGGAGTGGGAACCAGTGGGTCATCATCTCGAACCTCATACAAGCCTAGCCTGTGAATGTAAAAGAAGAACTAATATTATAGACCGATTTGATGCAACTATTAGGGATGCAATGAATATAAAATATATACCTACTTAAATTTCCAGTTTTTAATACTTCAAATACGGTCTAAAAATCATTATGACAAAAAAGATTAGTGTCAGATAATTAATTTTTTATAACACACATCAATGTCAAATTTCATGGTATTTAGGATAAAATATATCATAATAATTAGTGCCGACGGCATTGTTTACATTCCCTAGCAACAGTTTCTAAGCATAACGTCTTCTAAAATTATTTATGTAATAAAAGAATCGCAAATTATACAATGATTTTATCTGCGTAGATTCATTTTAAAATGGGTAGTAAATACTTCAATTATGATTAAAAATACAATTTAAACCAATAAAATAAAAATAAAAGTAAAAAAATCTATAAAAAATATAGAATGACGAAACGCTCGATTACTAACCTTCTAGTTTTAGTGACTATAATGGGCTATAAAGGCAGATTCTCATCAAAATCTGAATCAAAGTCACTAAATTCAGGTTCCCAACTATCTTGCCCAGATGTTTCAGATAAAATTTGATCAATATTTTCGTCTTTAGTATTCATTATTTAAAATTTTGGGCTGCCGAGTCGACTAGCGTCTTGCCCAAGTTTTCCCAAATGGCGATAACGGTTCGGCATGTCACATGAACCTCGAATTTTCTAAAAAACATCAATTATTATTTAAAATCTTTAAATATTAAATTTTTATATATTTTTCTTCCAAATGTATGCTAAAATAGGTATAGAACACTTAAAAAATAAAAAAGACAATATTTTATTAGCGAAAATAACCAACGTATATAGTTAACCAACGTATATAGTTGTACGCTCTCTATATAAGAGGAATGAAAAGACTTAAGTAAGGCATGATAATATAAGGCTAATAAAAAAAGGGTAATAATTAGGGACCTCGGTATTGGATTTGGACATATTTTTTAATATCTAGTTAGTCGCATTTGAAATATTGAAATATATTTTTAGAACCCACTAAACAGCTCTATCCCTTAAACAATATATCCCCTCAACAACTTGCTGTAGTTATTGAGTGTCAAAAGAGTCAAAACGATTGCAAAAAAAACATTTTGAAATCAAAGCCCGTTAAAGAAGCACTGAGTAAAAGTACATCCTTGACATCTTTTTGTCAAATATTAAATTCAAAATCACTTTTCCAAAATCAAGTAGCTTGCATAGAAGATATATTTTAATAAAATAAAAAAGAGCACATTTCTGAGTGCAGCTTTAAAGATGATTTGTGCCATAGGAATAATTATTTTATTGTCATACCAGATATTTTCATTAATATCTTTATTATTTTCTTGTATTCATATCAGATATAAAATGTGGCAGAGATATAGCAACAGCTATGATTTTAGAAATGTCTGCAATGACTATGAAGAATTTAGCCATTAGGATGCCGAGATTGCCATTCAGTATTGCTACTGATGGTAGTAAAGACTCAGACAAAAAGCAGTACTCTCCATTGGTCACCATTGAAGGATAGGGTGGCCTTGTAAATTCTCATCTCCTAGCTTTGCCGGTGTACAAAGCCGGCCACAGGACAGAATATATTTAAGATCATGGCAGATGAATTGAATTCACAGGGCATTTCATGGGTAAACTGCATTGCATTTGGCTGTGACAATGCCAATGTGATGACTGCCCAATACAATGGGTAAACTGCATTGCATTAGGCTGTGACAATGCCAATGTGATGACTGGCCAATACAATGGAGTATACAGTTTTACTAAAGGAGAGCAAGACATTTATCTGGCATGACGCTGCCTCCATCTGGTGCATCTTGCAGCTAAAAAGGAGGCTTCCTGTCTCACCCAAGTTGAGGAGTTACTGGTTGACGTTTGTTACTTCTTCAAGAAAGTGTGAAGAGACAGAGTGAATTGAAGAACCTGCAAGTCCTGTATGGTGCAGGACAGATGAAAACATCCAGCATGTCTGCACCAGATGGCTTAGTATTGCAAGATGCCTAAAATGATAACATCCAGCATGTCTGCACCAGATGGCTTAGTATTGCAAGATGCCTAAAATGATTGTTTGAAAACTGGGACCAGTTTAATGCACTTTTTTATGAAGTCAAATATACAAATTCCAAATCAAATAAGAAACCACATGATGGGCAGACAACTGCTGTGTTGGAAGGACATTGCACAACTTACTCTGTGAAGCAGGTTGATGCCATTTATGACTTTTTGCGGTCACTAACAAATCAACTTAACTGCTATTTCTTGTCTTACACACTGAAAGTTTATG